TGCCTCATGAGTCACCTGCCCTCTGAGATGCTCGCTGGGAAAGGGGTACCCTGGTAAAGAAGTTTAGAGACTCTGCAGTCTTGCCCACACTTAGGCATTTCAAGGGACACCAGCACAGGAAAGTTTCTGAGCAGGCCTCTGATTAAGTCTTCTGTCGAACTGTGTTCAGTCCAGCAGTCCTCAGCATACCCCAGGAGGAAGCCCGCTTGTTTTTACAGAAAAAGCCTTTAACCTCTCACCAGGCTGGTGTTTTTGTAATACACTTTGCAGATACTGCCCCAGAGCCGAGCTCCTGAGCTGACCATGAATGGTCTCTATAATTTGAATTTGTCACTCATGTTTCTCCCCACCCCCGCCGTTCCCCTCCAGCAAGGCTGGAATGCTTATGGTTTCCATGTACCCCCACACATTCCTGCCCACACACCCTTGCTTCAGCTAAAGAAGACTTCTAGGTGGGGCCCGTATTTAGAGCTCCATAAACGTTCATTTCCCTTCCTCTGGCACTGTACACCTGTGCCTTTTACCTCATGAGATCAGTGTATGTGTACAATTTCATGTCTTGCTTTTCTCAACATTCTTTTCATAAACACAGTTCAATGTGTCAGTAAAGACCAGAGCTACTTAAAAATGGCTCTGTGGATCGATGCCAGTCCCCAAACTGTTTACTACAGTATGAGATGAGATAAGAAGCTTGCTCAGTGGGTAAATCAAGCGTGTTAGTAAGCACTCTGTTGCGCTCCGCTGACAATCTTTCTTCTTGCAATCCTTGTTCCATATTGGAAGCAGCAGGTAGATTTACATTCTGGTAAAAGCTCTTTATTGCAGATGGTAACCATTAGTAATACATGGGCCAGCTACTTTGAATAGCACCCAGAGTGACTTTGCACATACTATTTCCCGTAACTGGTAGTGTGTCTCATCAACATACCATAGTTCATTAACCCTATCCTATTGTTGGATATTTGGGCTGTTTCCAGGTGGTTATGATTAATAAAGCATTGCCATGAATGGATATGTATGTGTCCATGTGTTTATGTTTGCAGCTCCCTCAGTTTCTAAGGACCACAAATCTGAGGCCAGAGAGGTTGTGAGGCCCCTTGCAGGGTTATGAGTGGCACAGGCGGGCCTCCTGACCCCAGGCCCCTGGTTCCTTCCTCCGGCCTGCACTGCCCTTCCTACTGGGCAGATTTTCCATTCCTTTCATGCTTTTCTTGCTAGGCTATGAGTCTTCTGCAGTGTTCCCACATGTCTTGTGGAGCTTGAGAGAAATCCTTTTGGAATGTCCTGGGCCTTCTCCCTCTGAGTTCCCGGCTTTGTTCAATTGTTCATGATAAATTCCTGCCCTGTTGGGAGGGGCCCAGGAGGCTGTTGAAAGACTTTGCCAAAAATGGTGGTACCAGCTCAGGCCCAGCACAGCTCCTACAATTTCAACTTAAAAAAAGGCACTGTGGATGTAACTGGGGGAGCACCTGGGGGAGCTCCCATTCCTGGTTTTATGTTTCCTATGTGAGAGTAAGCATGGCCAGTCAGGTGTAGACAGAAAAGACAGAGATAAAGTGGGCCTCAGGAATGGGGGTGAAGAGTAGGGTGGGCTACGGCTAAGAGGGTTAGGTTCAGAGACGAGGAAAGGTTAGATGGGGAGTCACGGCCAGGAATAGGATGACTGTGTCTTTTGAACATGTACCTTGGTAACAGAAAAGGCTGCATTTACTTTCTAATCATAGAAGATTCCATCATCTATCATTCCAATTTATCTGTTTGAAAAAAGCCATGTCAGACTTTTTTAAACATACAAAAATAATTCTAATATCATGTATCTATTCCCAGTGTTACCAAATAATTGCAGGGCCAGTGGATTGGGCAGTTGAAAGCACAGTGGCCTTTGAAGAAATTTCTCCCTTCGTTTACTATTTCCTGGAAAGAGCATATTCCAGGTTAACACTGCCCTGTTCAGAACACAGGTGCTGAGGGGCAAACCAAAACCCCAGGGCTAAACACCATCCTTGCATTATCTAATTTACTGCATATTTTGGAGGCCAAGATTTACCTCTCTTTCTCTTGGTATTCATTTAATAGATACCAAGAAAGGAACTATATTTTCTCTGGGAAGGGCACTGGCTGAAGGTCAGAGCTCTGGGCTGGGATTCTCAGCTCTGCTCATGACCAGCTGCAGGAGGCTGGGCATACCACTCTCTCTCTCTCTCTCTCTCTCTGAACCTCAGTTTCCCTCTCTACAAAATGGAATACTAAAACCTAGCTTCTCAGGGAACAGGGGGCTGAGAGCCTGTGTTTCAGGCCTTGGCCCCAAGGCTGGCACACATACTTCTGCAGGTGTGAAGGCCTTTCCCAGGCCACCCCCAGCTGCAGGGAGACCGAGGCCTCTTCTGTGTTCGGGATGGAAAATACAGAAGGCTGTGGCATTGTTCTGTGGCCAGCATGCTGTTTCCTGTTAACATGGACACTGCAGCTGTATGGCTTGAACAGTGGACATGGGGGACTTCCTGTGGCCTCTGCATGGCCACAAGGAGTAGAAGGCCTTCTCTAACTAAGAGGCTTATTTTCTGACTTGGGCTGAGTGGCTGGTAAAAGGGATTCATGAGCATTCTGCCCTGAGGAGCAGGTGGGCCAGTGCAGAGATCCTGTCCCTTTAGGATATAATCCAATCCTCAACCAATGGTCAAACTTCATTTGAGCACTGATGAGGTACTGGGCTCTATCTATAATGACATCCACCCCTCACTGGGTACCCACGGTGTGCATTTGCAGAGCACAACCTGCTTGCAAGATGTTGTAATCATGAAGATAAGTATTTCTGAATGCCTACTCTGCACGTAGTACTCTATCATGACCTTGCCATCCATTCTTTTAAGAGCTGCTACACACTATGCTCTGTAACCAACTTTATCATAATCATTAATACCTGACTACCCTGTTCCTCAGTTTCCTCAGATGTATAGTAGGGACAAAAGTACCTTCCTTAAAAGATTGATGTGAGGATTAAATGAGTTGATGTATACAAAGCACTTAAAAAAATACCTGGTGGATATAGTTAAAAGCTTAATAAATGTTGGTCATCCTGAATATCAATAGTTATTCAATATCTATTGTGTGTGAGACACTGTAGTTACCCTTAAGATGGTAGTAGTTACCATTGCCGAACACCTATTGGGCACCAGACCCTATAAGCAACATTGATATAATAACTGAGGCTCTATTGTGAGCCAGAACTGGGCTAGAGACTGGAGACCTCAAGAGCAGTGTCCTAGGCAAGGGTCTTACACTCTGATTAGGGGAAATTAAGACAGTTTTCGAGGTGGGCATCTCCAGGGGAGTCAGGGACAATTCTTATGCAAATAGGCCTAGAGTAAGAAGGGGTGGCTTTGAGTGGCCAGATGGAGGTCTTGGTGATCAGGATAATCTTGAACTATCCCTTGAGCTGAGCCAAATGGATTCTAACAAGCTATATTCCTGTGAATGTTCCCCTGGGGAATGGGTCCCCGTGAGGAATGGGTGCCCCCTCTTTCCTCCTATCCTGGGACCACTGTGGCAACCTCATGGCACAGATAGTCAGGCTTGCTGCCTTCTCTGCTTCGTTATAGGGGTAGGCCACAGCTGGCCACCTCCTCTAAGAGCCATGGAACCTTGTAGACCTCCAGGTCCTGCATTATTTCAAGGTCAGCCCCATTCCACACTCTGAGCCACCATTAGAATATGAGGATATTTCCAAGGAGACAGGAGAACTCCAGCAAGGAGGGACTGCGCCTGAAGTTCACAGCCACCTGAAAGGGCCTCTGGGCAGCCAGGAGGCCTGAGTTCTTGGGTGGCGGGGGCAGGTGCATTCTCAACTGTCAGCTCAGGAAGCTCCAGGCCTGGCTTGCGACTAGGAGGAGAGTAGACTCGGAAATGACAAGAGTCTGGGGTCCTTAGAGATCATGTTCCAGCAGGGGAAACAGGCCTGGAAAGGGGAAGTGAGTACCCGAGATCCCAGGGCAGGAGAGTGGTGGTCCCAGATGGGTTGGGATCCCAGTCTTCAGAGGCCCCTCAGCCGGCAGTTGGGTGCTTGTGGAGCCCAATTTCTCCACATCCAAATTGGTTGAGTCTCTGAAGTTTTGGAGCCTTGGGGGTTCAGGGAACATTTTCCCAGGCACTTCCAGCAAGTATTACTGAACTTGGGAGCCCCTCATTCTGACCCTTCAGTCTTCTCCTGGCCTGGACAGAACCACCACTCTTCAGAGATTTCTCAGGAAGGGCTGTGATTCTCTACCTGCAACTATCCCTGGTGACCTGTTCCAGTGTTCCCACACTAGCCATCATAAAGCCTTTCTCTATATCCATGCTATGCCGTGGTCTTTAAAACCACATCTTTATAAGAATAAATATATGTAAAGCACTTAGAACAATGCCTGCCGCATAGAAAATGTTCAGTGAGGATTTGATGATGAAAATAATAATATATAATTATTATTTCTGCCTTTCTGCTCACATGGAGTTAGGCTAAAATCAACAACAATCCTGAGAAAAAGAGTATGGGTAAGGACTGGGAATGAAAAGTTAGTCTATTTGTTCACACGCGGAAGCCAAGGCTACAGGAGGCTGGGAACCTTCCCAGTGATCCATTTAAGATAGAAACAGAGTCCAAACTGAGACCTGTGGGCTTCACAAGGACTTTTGTTTAGTCCACAGGGCACTATGACATTTTAAAATTAATTGCTAAGATATAAAAAGCAGATTCCTGGCTTCTCTTGAAAGACAACCACCCATTTGAAACCAGATATTCCCTCTCGACTCAGCCACAGTCTCCACCACTCCCTGCTACCATCCAGCCCAATTCACCCATTAACCTTTACCTGTCTGGCCCCAGAGTCCTTGAGTTTATAAGGTCCAATCTTAATGGCTGTTTCCCCTAACAGAGCCACAGCAGGAGCATTTTGCCACAAAAAATTTATTTTCCACAACTGCAGCCTGACGGACATGTGCCCCTTTCACGGTTGGTGTCATCATCACCACCAGCTACAGGGTTTGGAGATCAGCTCGGGGTGGCTCCAGCTGGAGTGGACTGCATCCCAGAACTTGGGCAGACTACCTAAGGAAAAGATCCCATTGCCAAACAAAGGGAGCTCAGAAAGCCCGGCCTCAGTGGCAACACGGTGTGAGGCTCTGGCTCTGAAGCTGGTGTGGGCAGCTCGTGTTGGCAGAGCCAGCCACACACTGCAAGTCATTGACGCCCCTGGTGGATGGCACTATGCAGGTGCTGGGGTACGAGTTGTCTGACGTGGCCATGCTGGTGCTGGGGTTGGAGTAACTGAGGGGAAAGGCGTGGTCTGGGTTGTCCAGGTGGATGGAGTTGGCAGCGCATTCCAGGTAGCTGGCTGCAAGCTTTGGCAGGCTCTGTGATTTGGGGCAGTTAGTGTAGAAAGCACTGGTGGATCTGTCAAGGTAGTTTATGCCTTTGATGAGCTGGTCCAGGAAGGTGGGGCTGGAGGGGCTGGAGGGACAATCTGTACAGAGCAGGCCTCCAGTAGGGGCTGCCATGGCAAGCGGGCTTTTGGCCACCTTGGGGCAGTTCACCAAGTGGCTTGTCTCGACGCACCTGGAGTTGTAGGGCTGGCCCATGCACATTCTCCTCACAGGAAGGCTAGGGGAACTGGAGGCTTCAGGGCTGCTGCAGCTGCTGAAATCCGAGCCACTTGGGGTGCAGGGGTGCTTGAGGCTGTTAGCTCTGGTCACACTGGGGTAGTGGGACCAGCCTGGAGTCCGGGGTGGAAAGGACACCTTTTGGGGATGGTTTAAGCGGTTGTAAGTGTTGGGATGACTCACCTGGTGTCCTGACATTGTCCCAGGTAGGCTGACAGAGTTCTGTGCTGCTCAGCTGCTTTGAGCTCACCTGGAGGCTGGCTACCTGGGCCTTGTGAGGACAGAGTTAGGTCACTTCTCAGCTCCCAGCCACCTCCCTCCAGGCTCTCTGTCCAGGTGTTCCCTCTGCCTCCAGAGGGCCGACACCACTCTTCTCCCTTTCCCCATCCTCTTCCCAGGCTCAGGGATGTTCGGGCTGGAAAACAGACATCCTGTTCTTCCGAAAGCACAAAGGGCAAGAGATGGGGAGGAGGGCAAGACCCTGAGGATGACCGAGGCCAAAGGACTCCCTGGAAAAAGTGGGGTGGTCTCCTTTTTCCTTTAGCTCCAGCCCACATCCTGAAATTCCCATTCCCCTTTTAAGCAGGGACTCTAGAAGAGCACAAAGGCCAAGGACTGAATCTCTAATGGCTTAAGTTCCAAGCACTGAGACAGACCTTCTTTCAAGGTAATATCAAATGACTAATCACCAATGGACCTGATACTCAAAAAATGTGTCTTAGTAGCAATGCTATACCGTTTTACTCTCTTTGTGCCCAGCCCTTTGCTTGTGTCTTATTTCTAATTCTCACTATAAATCAAGGAGGTAGTTACTATTCTATTCCTAATTGACAGTTAGGGAAACTGAGGTTCAGAGAGATGATGGCACTTGCCTCAGATCACATAGCTTATAAGTGGTGAAGACAAAGTACTCTCTTGGGCGTGTCTGGCGACCCCTGAAAGACAGTGCTATATTGTCAGGGCAACTGTGGCTCCCCTTGTAGTCTACTCAGGAAATATTCTCACCACACCTGCTCTGCCCAGCTGGACAGGGCCACCAGTGGGGAGAACCAGATGGAGAGGGGACTTGTTAACCCTGCAAGTTGATCCCAAAATGCGGGGGAGAAGGTGGCGGCATGATAAGTCTACTGATGGGGCTGGACTTGTGAGATTAGAACCTTCCAGAATGTTTAGTCTTGACCCTGTGACAATATGGGATCCCCTCACCCACTCAACAACAGTATTCCTTCTCCAACTGGTCCCAAAGTGGGCACTTCACAGGTCCTAAGGACTGACCATGCCAAAGAGTTGCCCAGTCCGATTAACCCCACCTCTTCTCCCAGGGTCTGCCTGGGCAATGTAGTCCTTCCCTCCCTGTCCCCAGTGTCCCTCGGCTCCCCAATATTCCCCACTACCAGAAGGAAGGCTCTGATTTCTTTCCTCCAGCACTGCCAGCCTGATGCTAATTTTCCACTTCTGGCTACTGAGAACAGAGGAGGATTTGAGCCTGTCCCACCCAGAAAACAGCTGCCTGCCCCTCTTTCAGCCTACAGCCCTCAGCTGCCCTTGTCTTTTGGGCCTGAATTGCATGGAATGTCCAGACCCTTGACTCTTCCCTCCCTAGCCCAACCTCACCCCATCTCCTCCTCCAGAAATATGGGAGGTGACTGAGGGCTGACCCGCACAGGGCCCCACCTTCCCTTCCTGGCAGGCTGGGCCCTATCGACCCGTCAGGGCCTCTCCCACATTCACTCTGTCTTTAGGAGGTAGATGACATAGTCCTCCTCTAGCTCTCTAGCAGGTATACCCTCCTGCTGCCACTCTAGACTGCTAGCCATGTCATAAAATCATAGAATCCTAGAGTGGGGAGGGGCCTCCAGGAGTCATCCCAGTCAGGCCCCTGCCTCAGGGCCAGCGCTACTTTAAGCCTTCCAGGACAGATGGGCCCTATTTTAAAAAGAGGCTGGGGTGGGCATTTTCTAGTATTCCTTGTTGTTTTTCTAGTGTTTAATTATGCTAAGAGTCAGGAAGTCCTTTGCTGAGTCTAATATAATTCCCATTAGCTGCAGGCAGCACCAATTACATCTTTTTCTCATGGGTCAACAAGCACTTACTGAGTCTCCCTGAAGTGCTGTCCCTTGGCGTGACCCACTCTTGGGCATAATAGCACCTTCTCTCCTCCCTTTTCACCTCTTCCTCTTGTCGTCAGAACCCCATGACGAGTACCTACCACGTGGTGTGCTCTGTCTAGGGCCTGAGGATCCTTCAGGGAGCAAATCTCCGGAGCATCCTTCAGAGCCCCTAACCCCCACACTGGGGCCTGGTCCACAGGGGGCATCCAGCACATTTTTGCCAAGAAAAGCCTCCCTGCATCATTTCCTTTCCTCAAATATTGAAAATACAGTTTTACTTTACATTTTGAAAAAATTTTCGGACATACTGAAAATACACACGGCAATGAATTTCTGGATAGTCTTTATCCAAATCCATTAATTATTAACACCCTTGTTACATTCATCATTCACACATACACACATACATATACATTATTATTATTTTGAGAATAAATTGCAGACGACAGCATCCTTTCTCCATGGATACTTGAGTGTGTATCTTCTCCATGCTGGGGGAATAAGGACATTTTCTTACATATCCACACTATAATTTCCAAATACAGGAGCTTTAACATTGACACAGTACTATTATCTAATATACAGCCGTTATTCAAATTTCACCGATTGTCCCTCCATTGCTCTTCATGGCAATGACTTTTCCAATCCAGTACCCAATCCAGGATCAGGCACCACCTTTAGTTCTCAGGGCTCTTTGGGCTCCTTCCACTTGGAACAGTTCTTCAGCCTTTGTCTTTTATGGCAGCAACATTTTTGAAAAGGGCAGGCAAGCTGTTTTGGAGAATGTTCTCCACTTTGGGTTTATCTGATGTTTCTTAATGATCAGATCCAGGATTACAAAGCACTTTAACACAGAAAGCTCTACATGGGTCCTCTCCAGCCCACAGTCACCAAGAGTGAAGGGCCTTTCACCCTGGGGTGGGGTGGTTCTAGTCGCTGAAACAGGGAAGCAAGAAGAGGCCCCAGAGGGTCCCCCAACCCAGGGAAGGAGAAAAAGGCATGTGGGGCAACTCAGTGGACCAGGGAAGCTGTGTCAACAGTTCACTCTGGGGCCTCAGCCAGGCCTGGTCCTGCTCTGGGCCAGGGGCTGGGCAGGCAGGCAGGCGGCCAGCAAAAGGGCTGGGCCTCTGTGCTGTTTGTCCTCAAGGTACCCAGGCATCGACATCACTGGCCATTTCTGGCCTGGGCACTAGGAGCCTCTGGAAATGACTCCAGGACAATTATTTCAGGAGGAATGTGCTATTTCCCCACCTTCCCAGAAAGCCAGGCTGTGTCCTGTGAGATAGGGAATGTCCCTTTCCAAATTTCCCAATTCCAGGCAATCTCTAAGCCCTCTGGGGGCCACAGCAGCTGTCAGAACTGGAAAAACTAGGAGCTGGGAGTGGGGTCAAAAAGACTAAAAGCCCCCTTCCCCAGTGTGGAGAAGGGGTGGTTCCGTCTTCACATTCTGGGTTCTCAGGGCCCAGCGTGGAGTCAGGCCAGCCGGCTGGGGTCCAGCTGACTCCAAGCGCAGGGACACATGGGGAGGAGGGTATGGGGAACCTACCTGCCTCCCCTCTTGCCCAGGCCCCTCCCTGAGAAACTGACATGAGCAGAGAACCTACTACGTGCCAGAGAACCAGATGTTGTTGCCAGGACCTTCTCATCCACCCTTTCATTTAATCCTCACAGCACCCCTAAGAGTAGGTATCTTGTTTTCCAGATTGAGGTAATTGGGACTCAGAGAGGGCAAGAGACTTACCCAAGCTTAACCAGCAGTCAGACTAGAACCCAACATTCTGGCTCCAGAGCGTAGAGGCTTAAGCAGTAAGTGAGGAAGAGGCAGAGGAAGCTGCCCCTCTCACTCAGTGAGGACCAGTAAGTGACTCTGTGAACATTAGGAGGGGTCCAGCCTGGGGTCACAGGCTGGTGGGCAGCTATAGCCCTGTCCCCATCAAGCTCCCCTCCTCCGCCATTCAGCCAAGTACAGCAGCCTGTCCCTCCCTAGCACTGTAGGGATGGACGCCAGGGTCTCAGAATACCCTGGGCAGGCGGGGTGTTCTGCCCTGTCTTGCGCAGTCTCCAGCCACAGCAGCCCTGACCGTTGCCTCGCCGGGGCCGCCTCCAGCCTGGCTCTTCAGCTCCATTGCCAAACCGGATGCCAACCATGGGCTTCCCATCAGCTCTTGCCCCTCTCACCTTATTCCCCCTCCCTGCAGCCCTACCCACATCCTTGTTCCCTCCTGTGTCCCACCAAGACCATCAGAGGCCCTTTCGCCACCCCAGGTGAGGAGTTCAAAGAGCATATCATTCCCCTGGGCTCCCCCGGAATGAAGGGAGCCTCCACCTTCTCCAGGAACCTTAGGAAACTGCTCCATTAGAACATATACTGCTCATTAATCCCCAGCTGCCACTCAGCAGTTTCTCCCTGCCCGTGGGGCCTGAGACGGTGGGAGGAGTGCTCTCTTGTCCTTTCCACCACATAGCTCTTGGGAGCATCACAGATAAGGAGCAAGTCCAGCCCAGCAGCCATATACATGAGGCACCCTGTAGTCCAGGGGACAGCTAGTGTCAAAAGCCATGAAACTTTCAACTGTTCCACCCTGCCTGGAGGGCATGTGTGCCCAGCCTCATACAACTCTTGGCAATGTGACTCACCTGAGCCTTATCTGGCATGGGGCTGCCTGCAGGGCTGAAAATCTCCTGGGCCGGGTTCTGGCCTTCCCCCAGCTGCAGCCTTCCACCCTCCCCAAGCACAATGAGCCACACACCCCCATCCCTTAACACCCTCAAGGTTAAGGGCCCTCTGCTCACCAGATGCCAAAACAGTGCTTCCCCAAGCCCGCGTGTGGCAGGTACAGGCCAGGACAGGCCCGAGCTCAGGAGTACCAGGGCAGGTGCGGCTTAGCAGGAGCCCCAGCCAGCAAGAGCTTCTCTCTCACCAACCCACCTCAGGCCTTTGTGGGTAGAGCAGCCAAGCTGGGAGGGGACAGGGTCCAGGGAAATCCCCTCCAAGGGTATGATGGTCATAGTAGGCTTGTTGAGAGAAGACGTGGGAAGCAGCACAGCATGGGAAGTAGTCATGTGCTGTGACCTTGGGTAAGTACT